CGTTAGCTCTAGAACCAGAAGTAGCTGCCATATATGCTCAGTATTACTCATCAGTTGTTGGTCCTCCTCCACAAAGATATATGGTGGTTGATATAGGAGGAGGTACAGTTGATATTACTGTACATGATAATAGTAGTGGGCAAGTTAGTGTAATATTACCACCAATGGGTAACACCTGGGGAGGAACAACTATCAATGAAGCTTTATCTATGCTGCTACAAGATATTGTGGGTGACAAGCAATATTTAAAGTTTTTGAGACAGGAAAAAGAAGTGGCACATATCGCCATCACTCAGCTTTGCTATCAAGAATTTGAAGGTGAAAAGATAAGATTTGGGGAAAAGTATACCAAGACGTCTGCATCATCAAGAGAAATAGTCATCACATTGCCACAGGCCTTCAGAAATTTCTATTCTCCAGCAGTGCTACATGAAGGAGCAAGGGAAGAAGATGTAGAATTTAGTGAAAGTGATGGCACGCTACGAATGAGCTATAGTCTAGTTGAAAAGAAAATATTCCAGTTCACTGTCGATGGCATCCTTGATTGTGTGAAAGCAGCATTTAAACAACTGGATGATAAAATCAACACAGTTTATTTAGTCGGAGGGTTTGGAGGTTGCAAGTTTGTTCGTCGGAAGATTGAGGAAGCTATCGGTGAGTATCATGGAGCTCTTTACGATAATACAGTGTGTCCTCAACAATCAGATCTTGCTGTTGTACATGGAGCAGTGATGTGGAGGAAAGATCCTAGCATCATTCAATCACGTGCTGCTGATGCTGCCTATGGGATAGGTACTGGTCCTGTTTTTAACTCATTAGTCCATGATGAGCATTACAAGTTTGTAGATGAAGATGGCATACAACGTTGTGATAATGTATTTGAGGTATTTGTACTTAAAGGAGAAGTGGTCAAGGATGAAGAATACAAAACCACTGGGATACCTCTTCATCAAAGAAGCACGCAAGAATATATTCCTATATTTTCTACAACAGATGATGGAGTTCAATATACACAAGATAAAGAAGGAAAACTAACAGTACAAAAGATTGGTGAATTAGTGATTGATATTCCTAATCCGGAAAATAAACCAAGAGAAGAGAGACGAGTTGACGTTTTTATGGATTTCAGTGGTACAGAGATACGAGCTAGAGCTCAATATCGTATCACTGGACAAGAAGTAAAAACAGTTTGCGACTTTCTATCAAACCAAGACTGAACGTATGTGCATTCATTATTTTTGTATTTTTATAGCATAAGACAGTAGAAATAAGGCGTGGCAAAATTGGTGAATGATGGCTTCAAATGTTTCGAAAGAACCACTTTCACGAGCGGAGAAAGTAGAGAAAGAGCCTGGTTCAGTTGTACACCAGAGAAGCAATTACATAGCGGCTATTGACTTTGGAACCTCGTCTCTATCAGTAGCGTACACCACTCCACTGGATGGGGGCGAAACAAGAATTCTTCAGCTCTACAAAACCTATGAGAGAGTCCCCAACGCTATACTGCTAAGGATAACTGATGATGGAGAATGTGCAGTTGAAGATATTGGGCTAGAAGCACAAATACACTATAGCAAACTAAAGGTTCAAAGCAGAATGAATCAAGTCTACTTTGAAAGAATCAAGAATATATTGTATAGAGACAAGGTAGACCAATATTCATTCATTTATAGATCTGATACAATTTTACTCTATAGCATGTAGATCGTAATACCGAAGTTCCTTCGTTCACTGGAGGGTCTTATTATCTCATTGAAGTTATAGCTTTTATCATAAAGCACCTCAAGGAGAAGCTATTGGATGATCAGCTGAGGGGCCAGTACAAGGCAACTGTTTTTGATTGGGTCATTACTGTCCCTGCTATATGGAAAGCTAGAGCGAAAAGAATGATGAGAGAAGCTGCTTATATGGTAATAGTAATCATTTATTTTTTATTTGTATTATGCTGTATACATTATAGGCTGGTCTGACTTCTGACGGTCCTGGTATAACAAAATTTACTCCAGTAGGAACTCAAGTACCTCGTCCAGAGGAGGTTAATCCTGACAAGTTATCGTTAGCTCTAGAACCAGAAGTAGCTGCCATATATGCTCAGTATTACTCATCAGTAGTTGGTCCTCCTCCACAGAGATATATGGTGGTTGATATAGGAGGAGGTACAGTTGATATTACTGTACATGATAATAGTAGTGGGCAAGTAAGTGTAATATTACCACCAATGGGGAACACCTGGGGAGGAACAACCATCAATGAAGCTTTATCTATGCTCCTACAAGATATTGTGGGCGATGACCAGTTTTCTAAATTTCTAAGTCAAGGAAAAGAGGCAGAGATTGCCATCACTCAGCTTTGCTATCAGGAATTTGAAGATGAAAAGAAGAGGTTTGGGGAAAAGTATACCAAGATGTCTGCATCATCAAGAGAAATAGTCATCACTTTGCCACAGGCTTTCAGAAATTTCTATTCTCCAGCAGTGCTAGACAAAGGAGCAAAGAAAGAAGATGTGGAATTTAGTGAAAGTGATGGCACGTTACGAATGAGCTATAGTCTAGTTGAAAAGAAAATATTCCAGTTCACTGTTGATGGCATTCTTGATTGTGTGAGAGCAGCATTTAAACAACTGGATGGTAAAATCAACACAGTTTACTTAGTCGGAGGGTTTGGAGGTTGCAAGTTTGTTCGACGGAAGATTGAGGAAGCTATCGGTGAGTATCATGGAGATCTTTACAATAATACAGTGTGTCCTCAACAATCAGATCTTGCTGTTGTACATGGAGCAGTAATGTGGAGGAAAGACCCTAGCATCATTCAATCACGTGCTGCTGATGCTACCTATGGGATAGCTATTGGGCCCCAGTTTGATCAATTTATACATGACAAGCATTACATGTATTATGACGTAGAGAACACAAGGCGTTGCAGGAACGTATTTAAAGTTTTTGTCCTTAAAGGAGAAATGGTTAGGGACGAAGTATATAAGACAAGCCTAATACCAAAGACTCAAGAAAGCCTCAAAATGTACATCGATATATACTCTACAGCAGAGAGTGGAGTCCAGTACATAAAAGATAAAGAGGACAAAGCAACAGTATATAAAGTTGGTGAATTGGACATTGACACTCCCAATCCCAATGATGTTCCACGAAAGGAGAGAGAGGTTGATATCTTTATGGATTTCAGCGGTACGGAGATACAAGCAAGAGCCCGGTATCGTATCACAGGAGAAGAAGTGAAAACTGTTTGTGACTTTCTAACAGTTCAAACTGTTTCTGATTAATTAATATTTTTTAGATAATAATACTTCATCACTGATTTGGGAATCATTGCCAATTATAGTAATGAGTGGAGTAAACACACACCTGCAATGTTTACAATTTGTGCTCTGGTGAATTTTAGTACACAAATAGTATATTTATCATATTATTAATATTTTTTTGGCCTATTCAGTAATCAAGACTGTATACACACAGAAATACAGTTTGTAATAACAATAAAACTCAAAGTTATTCTTGTTGCGATGAGTCAGTCGTTGATTCTCTTGTGCTATTGCTGGTACTGGTAGCACTTGCACTGGTGGTGGGTTGCTTCTGCATACAACTCTTAGCAACTGACTCAAACAACCTGTTACAGGCACACAATGAATGTAGGAGTTTGATATAAAATGTACTTACCTCTCTATCTCAGGTGCACAGTGGACAAAATCATGTTTCCAAAAGTTGTAGGTAGGATTTTTAATGAGATCAATGAATGTGATTAATAGGCCCCAGGGGTGTGGTCTATTAACAATCAATCTCTCCAATAAAACTCTATATTTATAATAATAATGATTTGCATTGTCAATGGGCTTTGGGTTAACCTTGTGATCTGTTCTTGAATTGCTTCATGATTAGTCTCAGCAAAGAGAGAGAGTAGGGCACAACTAAAGAAGTGTGTGTGACTATTAGGATATCTTAACTGATTAGCAATTGCATTAAGGAATAAGTAACGACCTGGAAAATAACGAAACATAATAGGTAAAAAAAGCCAACAACAATAAAAAACATATACACGTGTACACTATTTAGAGAAAGAGTTATACTATACCTTCAGTATCTAGGTCTACCACAAGGTGTTGGAATATGTCCATATGAGCCGTGTGTGCTATAGTAGTGGGAGACGGTGTACCACTCTTACTGTGAATGAATGCGATAGCTTGTGTGCCAACATATAGCACAAGAGCATTGATCAGTGATGAATTGTATTGTTTACCAGGTTCCGACGATATCTAATTTAGCAAACGATTGATAGGGGCATACTCATACTGTAATGAACCGACTTGTAAGTGTCCTCTTAGTTCTTGTAGGAATGTTACTGGAGCTCGTGTTTTTATGTAGTTATCTAGATTCTGGAGACAAATTTATGATTAAAAATGTTGCGTATTTTGTTATTGAGGCACCTTTTTTAAATCTGGTATAATTAGCTGTATGTAGGCCGGTAATATTCTTGGGGCATTCTGTATATCAGGCAATAATTCCACCTTAAAAAAATAATGTAAAAACCCAATACTAGCGAGACTTGAGATCTCACTTTGAGGTTGGGAGTGAAAGGATCAGGCAGTCTCATGTTCCTAGGGAAGGCAGAAAGGATAAGATTCCTCATTTGAATGCAGTTTGGAGGAATGACGTCACAAAATGAGAAGTGATAGTCACACAAGAACTCAGGGAAATCGTGAAGGAGGACAAGTAATACTCTTAGAGTGCCCTGCAAGAGAGATCAGTAATAAAGGGACGATAATGATGATGGCAGTATACTTTATAGAGTGTTTGTGTTGGCTTTACAAGTTCTGCATTGCGTAAAAACGGAGACAAGAACTTGAAAACATCAATCAGCAACTGATGGAAGAGAGGCCAACCCTAATACAGACAATATATAAAACGGCAATATCAACTACACAATATAGAGGGGGCTATTATACCTTTTGTTGAGGGGTCTGTAATAGTAGCTTAGAGACAAAAACTCTATGAGAGATTAGCTCAAGCCATGTGTAAGCAAAGCCTGGTGCTTTGGATGGTCTTACCATGTGATAAGCAGTGCTATGAGGAATAATATCATTATTGCAAGCATGCAGTTTACCGCAGGGTTTCCCACAAGGTTTTTGGTATAATGCTCAGGTTCTCGCCAAAGCTCATGAGGTGTGCTGTTTAGCTGCTCAGAGCTTTGTAGAAAACCTTGATCCATGGTGCTTTTTTTAATGGCTAGGAGAGAATTCTTCATTTTTATTACATTTTCCGATACATACACATGTCCTTATGTTGCATAGCAAGTTTGAGTTGATTCCAATCAAATTAGATTTTTTTAATGAATTTGTAAAGTTGCTCAAAAATCGGGCCAAAGTCCCTGTACTATAGTACAGGGATTTTGGCCAAATTTCGCCAAAAATGACAAGGAGAGAATTTTGCATTTTTATAACTTTTTCTGATGCATATACATGTCTTTATATTGTGTAGCAAGTTTGAGCAGATCCCGATCAAGTTTGGATTTTTTATGAATTTTTAAAGTTGCTCAAAAATCGGGCCAAAGTCCCTGTACTATAGTACAGGGATTTTAGCCAAATTTCACCAAAAATGATAAGGAGAGAATTTTGCGTTTTTATAAATTTTTCTGATGTATATACATGTCCTTATATTGTGTAGCAAGTTTGAGCAGATCCCGATCAAGTTTGGATTTTTTATGTATTTTTTAAGTTGCTCAAAAATCGGGCCAAAGTCCCTGTACTATAGTACAGGGATTTCGGCCAAATTTTGCCAAAAATGACTTGGAGAGAATTATCCATTTTTATAATTTTTCCTGATATATATACATCTTCTGATGTTGTATATCTAATTTGAACTGAATCCGTTAAAAATTGGATTTTTTTTACGAATTTTTAAAGTCAGGCCAATGACCAAAGTGCAAAGCTTGTCAGCTCATGAAGTGTGACACTGTTTAGCTCACTTAGCACGCTTTGTGGAAAACCCTGGCTCACCAAAAATGCATTTAAAATTAATCATTTTCATTACAGTAAGTCATCGCTAACCAGAAGCATTGGAGCACAGGGAAATTGATGGCATCGAAAACAGGATCAGGAGAGCACAAGTCATTGAGTATCATTATAAAGAACCTGTGATATGGCAACTGATGAAACTCAACTTGTCTCTTCTCATGATCTGCAAGCAACACTTGAGTGACTGTTAATAGGACCTTGAGAAAGACAGGAAAATTAATATCATAATAAAGTAAATTAGTTCTTACTTTGTTCAAAAGGTTAACTTTAGCTAGTGTGTTTGATGATTCACCAGAATACCTGACCAACACCACTACCAGCTTAACAAATGCATCCATTGTATGGTAACACTTTGGTCTACTCATGCCACCATTAACCTAAAGCAAGATAGTGTTCAATAAAGTGCTTTCAGTAGAAATAAAAATATAATAAAATTAATGTTTTTGCCTATCATTTAATACTTAACATTGTTATCTGTAAGCTTACAGGATCATTTAGTGTACGATAGCATAGTTCAACACACATCTCCATACTGATACGAAAGAATCTTTGAATGAGATCATCATTCTTAAGAATCCCTTGCTGCTGTAGCTGGTAGATAAAGACAATAAATGATGACACAAAGAGGAGAATGTCTTACTCTAGCGACATAGGCTGCATATATCTTATCACCATCTCTTAACAGACCAGGCTGATGGAAATGTCTGACCCATTCAGATAACAAATACTCCACCTAAAAAGTATAATAATATTAATAATAATCATGAAGCTCTAGTACTTTTTCATAAAGTCCTGGAGGGTCCTCCAGTTCTCCAGTGGTGCCAGGTGCTGCTGATAGTCCAGTAGAAGCCGGTCCAGTGGATCCTCCACTGGAGGAATGGTGCATCATTGATGAGTGCATCCCAGGAGCCGAGCTTCCCATTTCAGGATTTAATGATGCTATGCGTATCTCGTGTTCGTGACAGAATGGCTCTAACAATTGGGCAGTGCTGTCGGAAGAATGAGAGAAAGGTAAAAGCAAAAGAGAAAGACAAAGGTGTAGAAAAAAAAGGTAAAATGATAGTAAAAATTCATAACAGTTCTTCCGTACCTTTCCGGCAGTTGTCTAACATTAGCTGTCAGTCTAAACAGTGTCTCTTTAGTTTTCTTAAGATCATTCTACACGCATAAAAGGAACGTGAGCATTAAATAGAACAAACATGGTGCCTTTACATCAGTGATAGGTGTCTCTCGTCTCTCAGCTGAATCGATAGCATTGACCAACTTAATACTGCAGCTAAGAGCAACAAGGTTACGACCATTTTCAACAGCCTACAAAACAAAAGCATAAAAGAGTAATGAAAGAAAGCAGACGGAAAAAGCTACAAGTAGCGTTTGTGTTAGTCATACTAATATATACTTTGGCAAGGAATTCATCGAGTTGCTTCATATCCACTAGCTGTAGTCCGATTAAGAGAATGAGTGCTCTCGGGCTGTACTTGATATCTTCCCTTGCTTCCATTAACATCTTAGTAACAAGAAAACAGGCTGATTTGGGACCGAGTGCACGTTGATCCTAAAATGAGAGAGAGAGAATTTTCTTAAGTTAATACCGTAAATGTTCAAATAAAGGCCGGGCTTAAATAAACGCCTGGTACTAAGAATCTCCAAGTATAGATACGCATATTTTACTCAATATAAGTCCCACAATCTTTAGAGTGTCCCAAATGGCCTAATTTGTTAAGCTGAGTGCAAGGAACCTGCAGGTCCGTGTTTGAATCTCAGTTTTACTTTTTCTTTTTTTATTTTACGCATTTTTTTGTCATGGAAAGAAATAAACGACCGGGCTTTTATTTGAACATTTATGGTAATGAAAAGGCTCCTCCTGATTATATATGGTTCTTTGTTACCTGTAATGCTCTTAGTATCAGTATGTGGGAGTCCCTGAAACTGACAAACATGTCTGGTTCACTAGGAGGCGGATTCATTCCTTCCAATAAACCTTCTAAAGCCTACGACAAGCAAACGTAATAAATCATACAATAGTTATATATAAACTCACTTTTTGTAAGAGTGTGATGACATTGACGTATGTTGGATTGATCCTTAGTGGTATTGCCATCTCCAGGAGAGACCTCATCATGATGATGTGAGGCGTTGGTTGGGTCGGTGGTATCATTCTTATTTGACTTGTTATCTCTTTGATGCAGTTTGTTAATATGTGGACAAACTCCTCTGTAGGCACAAACTAATGGAAAGAAAGTAAAAACACTCCATATAATCCCAAGCCACATATTTTGATATTTTACAAGTCACGTATTTTAATATTTTTGTTATCTTTCTCTCTAGTTTTTTACCTGGCTAGCTGGATCCCCCTTAGCTGTGTCCTATGATATTAAAAGCTTGTCATAAAAGCAAGTTGTTTCTAATTATTGCGTACTTTAGATGATGGTAGGAAGCCAGGAAGACATCTTGCAAATTCCTCATACACTACAGCTTGTTGTGGAGTCGGGCCACCAACCTATCAGTAAAGCGTATGTATAATATAAATAATTATAGTCTACTAGTTGTTTCATAAAGTAACTTACATTAACTCTCAGTTGTTCTGGCATCTTATCCACTTGATAGCTAAGTACAACATGATTATAATATTGTCTCCTTTCAGATCTTGCTAACTGGCGTAATTCAAACTCCTGTACAGTTAAGTAGGAACAATAAACCAATGGTCTTTTAGTATTTGACTGACTTCAGTGAGTCTTTTCTCCATTTCAGGCACAACTTTCTCAACAGCGGTCTTTTGAATGAATGCACTGGCTAGTTCAGTGTTGTCTGCACTCAGTTGTAGTGCGGCCTGTTCTATTAGCTGCTTCAACTGCTCATCATTTGATACTGGATGCTACAATTAAAAAAGGCACTCAAAGTGTTGTTAATAACACGTGTACTTACTCTTAATACAGACGAGAAGGCACTCTTCAAGTTATTACATATTGATAGGAGTAGCGGCTCACGACAAGTTATCATAGCCATGCCAGCTGTGAGGTGACGTACCATGTGGACAGCAGCAGCGTGCATACGTGACACTTCTGGATCCAATGCAAAATCCTATACAATGAACCAAAAAAAATCTTGCTGTTAAATTAAGTCAATTCTTACCAGTTAAAAAGCATAAATTACATATAAAAACAGTTACTAATAATCAAGCTTTTTACTTTTTTAATGATTTGTTCAGCAGTGGTTAGAGCAATTTTAGCCGATCTATCAGCAACTGGTACTAAGAGATCTTGTATTGACTTCTCAATTGATGACTTCACGTATTGCTTTAACTGAGGATACTGCTGCAATAGAGCAATCTAAAATAAAATAAAATAAAACATTTATCTTAATTCGGGAGAGCTTGAGGCATAACATGTTATTAGTACTATGTAAGTATATGACAGTTACTTGAGGGCTGATCTGTATAAGAGAAGCGATTCCTTGTATGGTGGTGGGTATGTCTTCATATGGGTATAATGGTTGAGGAGGTGATGTACCTGTACCTATGGCACATTATATGAAACACAATTAATAGGGTAAAATGAAACTAAGTAATATATACATGTATATAATCTATACAAAATCAAAGGTGTGAGTCTGATGCATTGTGTTCAAGCACAGTTTATAATATACCTGATTGCTTGTCTTTTTGACTCACTAGTTGACAGAGTTTCTTAGCTCTCTCCGTATCACTAAGGAAGTTACTAGGAGGCAGCTCCTAAATAGAACAATAAAATGATATACATGTATAAATGTATGTGGAGATTGGGTTGACTGGGAAAAATTTTTGGTATTATTATTTGCACCATCTTAATTTATGTGCTGGCTTTTAGAGCAACTTTTAAAATTGATTAAAAATCCAAACTTGATCGAAATCAGCTCAAATTTAATACATGATTTTAGAACATATATATGCATTAGAAAAAATTATAAAAATGGAGAATTCTCTCCTTTTCAATTTTGGTGAAATTTTGCCGAAATCCCTGTACTATAGTACAGGGACTTTAGCGTGATTTTTGAGTAACTTCAAAAATTTGCAAAAAATTCAATTTTTTATCAGAGTCAGCTCAAACTTGCTACACAACATAAAAACATGCATATGCATCAGAAAAAAATTATAAAAGTAGAGATTTCTCTCTTTTTAAATTTTGGTGAAATTTCACCAAAATCCCTGTACTATAGTACAGGGACTTTGGCCCAATTTTCGAGTAACTTCAAAAATTTTTAATTCGATCAAAATCAGCTCAAACTTGATACATGACTTTAGAATAAGTACTACTCACAGAAATTTCCAGTGACAAATGCTTACAAAGTACTTCGACTTCAAACTTCAGATTCAGCTAACAAAATGAACAATAACAATACAGAATTAGATTCTGCACATACTTTAAGATCATGCACAGCATGTAACTCGCCTAATACCGTCATAATGGCCATCACCCATGGATTAGGAGGCTTAAATACCTATTGTACAGATAGAATTACTGAACAGATTGCTACTATTAACATACCTTGCTATCTGCACAAGCCTCTAGTACTTTAGCAACAAAAGGTACTACATAAAGAAGATCCTAAAAAAAACAAAAAATATTAACACACGTGTAATGACAATTAATATTCGTGACTGCTAATATTTGTGAATTTTTCCCGTGCTAGCAATTGCCACAGCAACTAGATGCTATTTTAATTGAAAACAGCATGTTATTGAACCACAGCACCTGACTACAATGCTCTTGAGCTGTTATTCTTCTTGCTGTTACTAATCCTTGGGACTCTTTGAAGCTGCATTAGCCAGTTCTTTTCAAAAATACCCTAGTCCACTCTGCCTCATGGCCATGTCCTGGGACTCTACACCCATTATGCCTAGTAGGTGTTTATTAACTTGGGTGTGGTAATTATAATCATGACCAACGGACCAGCACTGATTGAACTATAAAGGTAGTGGCCCATACAAGAATATAACAGATAAGAGACCTGGATGGCTCCACTAAAGCTGCTAAAGAATAGCAGATTAGCTCCTGAATACTGTAATTGTATAAACACCACGTGGTCAGTCGCGACAGCAACTATCTAAACTGTTTCGTTATTCTTCATTAAGCTGACCTGCTGTCCTCTGTGATAAGCCTCTAACACCAGGTCCTTCATAGCTAAGTCCTAAGATAAGGATAGAAGATTTAAACAGGAAAGAACAAAATAAAATCATGAAATTTATAAAACTGAATGACATACAATGTGTAAGATTGGCTTGTTCTTTGCTAGTGTTTGCATCCCTAACCATCTACCAAGGTTCTTTAATATTGCCCTGTCTGAGAAATTATTACTTGTCTTGTCAGAAGAAAGAATAACCTAATTAGAAATGAAAAAAGAAGAAAAGAGTAACAACAATTCTTTCAGTGCCATTATTGACTACTTCTCGTTTCTTTGCTATACCTTTATATTACGATAGGTTTCCTTAAGAACAGCTTTACGTAGATTATAATTATTAACGGTATCAAGGAAGTTCATGTACAATGGATGATAGTTGGGCTCAATGGACGTCCTCTTCATTACAAGATACTGAGCCACCCAATCATAATACTCATCACCAACTAATGCAGTAAACTCCTCAACCTAAAAATAAAAGATAATAATATAGAAATAGAAGATAAATATATAAATTGGACCAGCTAAGTGCCTATAATCTTAAGTAGACTATTGAAAGTTGAAACTACAATTTACCTTTTGTTGAAGTGTACTGGTTGAGAGATTATTGAACAGAAAGTGAACTTTATCCTGCAAATCCTGTGAAGGCGGTTTCTTATCAGAGAGATCAGCTGCAACCAGCAATGTATCAATACTAGTATTGTTTATAGAAGGAGGCTATGGAGAAGCAGAGAAAAGGAATAAAAAGAGAAAGAAATAGATAATAATTATTATTCTTATAATAATATAATAAGCTCTATCTACAGGTCACACACACACACACACACACTCCAGTAAATATGAATCTATCATTAAAAGTATGCAAAGTTGACAAGATATACAGTCCCACTCAGTGTTTGCATACACATGATCAGCTAAACTGTTTGTCTTAGGTACAGTCTCTGAATATTTCCAGTAAAAGACACAAGCAAAGCAAATAAACATATACAAAATATGAGCAGTCTATGCCATTCAAAATCCCCAGCCAAAAATGTTACTAAATACTTACAGTATGAGGGACTGCCTGGTTGTTGTTGTCCTTCATATTCTCAGACATATTATCCAGACCACCCCTCAGTCAGTCAGTTTGTCAGTTAGTCAGGTGCTTGCTTATGGCAACACCTCTTCACTACACCCAGCCCACCTCACCCTCCCTCCCCTCTCATCCTCTTTCTATGGCACATGATATCCTATATCAGTTAGCACTATCATAACATTAAACACTTATTCATATATTAACTCATTGACACGCATTATACTTATTCTCAAACACTATGCAATACAAAGAGTTGTACATTAGTGGACAAATGCAATATTGAATTATGATTCCCCTAACATTAGATTATTAGTAAGTACTCTTGTTACCTGTTGTGCGCCAGGTTTAGAGACAGGACTGTTTCCAGCTGTAACAGGAGTCTTACTAATACTACTAGTCACTGCTACTCCTCCCAGTGAAGATGTTGCAACTAAAAAATTAATGCATGTACATTTAAAAGAGAGAGAGAAACAGAAAGATAAGTTTGACTGAAAACTGAAATACAACTGTAATGATAAATAATATACTATAGTACAGCTACCAATGCGTGCAATGCTATGATAATTCATTCTTTATTATAACATCCCGGGTCCTTTTCTCTCTTACTTGAAGATGATGCTGTAGTAGCTGTAGGTGAAAACTGGCCCATCTCCGGAACTACAGGAGAGGAGAGTGGACTGTTGCCAGAGCCAGGGCCAGGCTGGTACACATTAGACGTGGCAATTGAAGGTAAGGACGGTAGGGAGGTAGGTGTGGCCAGATCAATGCTACCAGGTGTACCAACAGGAGTGCCAATAGAGCCAATGGGATTACTTGATACTGAACCAATCAGACCCAAACTATCCTAAAATAATTAAAAAAAGACAACCAATATTAATCAAAAATTAATTTATTTTATATACATGTACAAGTGCAGTATCAAAAATCTAATAAATGGGGAGTTGAAATTTTAGTACCAAAAAATTGACCAACTTAAATCATAAGTTTATTCTACAATATAAAGCTTTTTTCAAAGTCTATTATCCCCAAAACAAATCAACCACAGCACATCACACCATTAAGGAAAAGGAAAGAGAATATAACACATTCCCAAGAAGTGGATGGGATGTTGTCCTATTTATACACATCAATCAAGACCCAAACACTCACAATCAATCCGTACACAATAAATATAAAACATTCATGGAGATTTATGCAAACAATATCACGACTCGATGATGAGTAATATAAAACACATGCCAGTTGGTGTACTATAGTATACACACACACACACACACATACATACTGTATTAGACTATAAAGGATGTTATCACACGCCAATAAATACAATGAGGAGAGCGATTTATAAAAACATGTTGAGAAATACAAACAAATAACTTATTCCAAGAATCATGGCCTTCTTATCTTCGGTGTTATCAACAGAAACTAATAACAATGATTACTGAATACTAATAATGATAATATTAACTATAAGTATAATAGCAACAGTAATAAAACAATACACATAGCAATGGGCAGTGTACAGTACTAATACACTCATCCTGTACATTAATATGGTGAATTAATGTATGTTCTTTTACAATGATACTTACATGTCCTAGTCCACTATAGCCTGGTAATGATGAAGTCCCTGACACTGAAAGTGGAGGATCCATCGATTGCTGACCGTACTGAACATACTATAAAATAAAATAAAACCGTATAATATTATTTATTTATTATCACTCCTATTATTATTCATTATTATAATTATTATAGTACTGACCTGTTTCAATTGAGACGGGAAAGTCTGGAAGTGAGATATGCTGGCTATGTTCACACAGAATTGAGGGAAATCCTTCAGTCTTTTCTTACACTTGTCCAGCGCAGCCAAACCAAATAAGTACATCTTGCTAGAAGGAGGCTTCTTCAAAGCATCGACAATAAACCTCAGAGCTAGGTTGAGTGACATATAACTGTAGAGAGGGAGGGGGAGAGAGAGAGAGAGAGGGAGGGGGAGAGAGAGAGAGAGAGAGAGAGGGAAAGAGGAGGAGGGGGAGGAAGAGGAGAGAGTAAATATTTACTCATTAAAAGGTTTTTTTTAATTAAATTACAGCACACACAAACACATTTGTGGAATGGGATATAAACCATTCCCTTCCATGCAGCTATGAGCTCATACAAATACACTACAACCCATCACTTTATACAAACACCCACACATACAAAAGGAAGTATCCTTATAGTTTAACCCCCCATTCACTTAATAAGGTGCTACTCAACCCAACATGTACTATAGATGGTTCATTTCATTTGTAATGTCTAGAGGCTGGATATACAGGAAAAGCCAGTGGGCCAGAGATTGAAAGCAATACACACGCACACACACACAACATAAATACACACTAGAGTATGTGTAAGCAATGCAGGCAATGCGTCATCATAACAGGAAGTAAGCTAGTCTATATAACTGGATGAGGAAAGGTGGAGACAGTAAGTGGAAAGCAAAACTAAAGAGAAGCAGAAGAGAAAGAAGAAATATATTGAGAGAGGAAGAAGCTAGGATACTAAAAGCAACCTAATTGAGAAAGGTGAGTCACAATATACAGTCTTATCAAGCACTGTGTTAGCTTCTGTAGTCGTATTAATCCATTACCAGTCTAATTAGCCTAGGATTCTCATACCATTCCTTATTAATGGCTAACTCACAAATGACCTTCACAATACCAAAAATGCAATATACATGGAATAAATCACTTAGAACTTTAGCAGTGACTAGACTAGTCAGCCCTTGGACACATCATGTGAGCCAATTTTAAACTTAGTCACTTTAAAAAAACAACAATGAAAAAGGTTAACTGCATCTTATACTGCAAACATGACTGAGACTGGCTTAGCAAGGTCGTGCATATGCTAGATTAACTCTTAACAGTTATGAAATAGCAAAAGATATACATTTACTTTTATACAATACAGCTTGACAGCAATCCAACTTGCACGAGTACTATGATGGCACACATACAAAATCCCTTTTTGCATACAAATTCATCACAGTGTTTACATGTACTCCATGCCATTGAGACATTAGCTTAAACTTCCTTTGCAGACACAGAAAGTGTAGCCTATGGATGAATGCTATGATTGTCTTTATGTAGGCATACACAGTGAGGTATGGTTGCTAAGACCAATCCTACACTTCGTGATTGCTATAAGCCACTGACAGTAGTGCCTGCTTTGATTAAAAATAATTTTTAAAAACTCTTAAACTTTCAGCATATGCTCCAGCACAATAAAATATCAGTATTAGCAAATCATTAATAATAATAATAATATTATTATTATTATTATATCGGGTTGCAAAGTGATTGTGTGGTTCCATAAACTGAAACTAACAGAGACACCTGTCAATACAGAAAGAGAGAGAAAGAAAGACAGACTAATGGGTGCTGTGTCATCAGTGACATACCATAAATAAACAAACAGCAATTGCATTACACCGAATAATGAGCACTAGTCTGAATGTCTCTCTCTTAGTTATGATTACTGCAAGCATATGATCATTGCTTAATTGTGTGCATAATAGACACAACGAGAGCTTTCATATCTCTTTAACATAGTACTAAGGACCAACTGCCTGTATAGCATGTGTTGCATAAACAATAACATTGAAACTGTAAAGAGAGAGAGAGAGAGAGAGAGAGAGAGAGAGAGAGAGAGAGAGAGGAGGCAGTAAATAAAGTAAGATGCATAGGAAAAATAAAGAGTGTCTATTTAGCATTTAAATTCACACACAATGCAAACAGGCCATAAAACTGATCGTAGTGATCTGTGAACAATCACTTACTCCTGACTACAATACATAGACACTCAGTAGTACTATAACAGCAAAGTAGTAAAGCAGAGGATGGCAATGACAGCACAAATAGTACAGCAATGCACACAATGACGCTCGACTCGAGTACAATTTCTTAGGAAATAAACAAGTGGACGTAATGAAAATGAAAAATACCAAATCACTTCGTAATAAATGTAATTAAGAAATATATGGATTGACTATTTTGATGGAACGTGATAATAATGTACAAGCTAGTCTGGCGTGACCAGACTATGTACAAACATCAGCTGGTTCATAGTTCATTCTTTTCTTGGCAAATATATTGAAATGAAAACATAATTAGTGGATAGACTTGATTCCAAGGACACTAATAGAATTAGTGTGACAGCAAAAATGACCTTAAGATCAGATATAGGATAGGACATTAGGAGAATAACAATTCTAAGAACAAATAAATACGTGCAATGTACCATACACACATTGCATTCTATGTACCCAATACAAATGTGATGATCAATACACGTAAAGGTTTAATAGAATTAGTTTTATTTTATCTCATTTTCCACAGATGATAAGAGCAGAAGGTGTAGTGGTGGGCAATTACGGAGTGGGAAAGACGAGCTTCCTCTACGCTATACTCAACAAGCAAATACCGGACAAACATGTTCCAACAATACTTGAGTCTCACTGCATGACAGTCAAAGTGAAGGACGACGTTGACGTGGAGCTAGTGTTCCACGATACCCCAGGATCAGAGGATTATGCCCAATTTACGCAACTTAGTCTAGCAAGGAAAGCTGACTTTGTCCTCCTTTGTTTCTCTCTCGTGATACCAGCTTCTTTTGACAGCATTAGAAATCATGTGAGGACAATAACAATAACAACACACAGTAACTAATAATAATAGTGATAATAATAATAGCGACGTGTTTACACTTTCTAATTCATTGTACTCCCTTTTAAGTTAGAGCATAATTTAAAAGCATCATATATACATGAACATGTACTTGCAATATACAATAGACCGTGCAAAAACAAATCATGTCACATATATCATAAACTACAGGCAGTAATGAATCCCTCTCTCTCTCTACCTCTATCCTTGTACAGTGGATTAATGAGATACGTTCAAAACTACCCAACGTCCCAGTAGTACTCATTGGGACTCAACTTGACCTACGTAACAAACCAGAAGTTGTAGAGGACCTCGTTGATTGTGGTACACCGGCAATAGACACAGAGACAGGACAGAAGCTAGCAGATGAAATCGGAGCTATAAAGTACATCGAGTGCTCGGCATTCATTCCAACAGACACTGACAAAATAAAGTTAGCAGCAACGCAGATAGCATACGAGTGCAAGAAGAAAAACAAAAAGGACAAATGTGTCATATTATAATATAACAGATCCACCAACCCACCACACGTAATTATCATTTGTTAGTTTGTGTTCAATATCTCACCACAGGTTCTCTGTATTTCATTACTCAATCATGTTATAAATGTTTTATGACACATTGCATAGTCATGTCACTTTATTTCATTATGATGATATCTTGATCAGTACATCTGGATCAGACCATTTAGCTTATCAATAATGGCACAGCAAATAAAGGATAATAATAAATGAAGAAGTGTCTCTGGCCATTTCTAATACTACAGGTTTGATTTTGGAGCAACTTTAAAAATTCATAAAAAATTAATTTTGATCGAAATCAGCTTAAACTTTCTATACAACATAAGTACATGTATATGTATCAGGAAAAATTATAAAATGAAAAATTCTCTCCTAGTCATTTTTGAAGAAATGCCATGCACTATGAATGAACTAGTGCAGTGCTGAAATGATCCACATGTTAAAGACATTGAAATGTGCTCATGTTGTAATTATAATAATTAATTAATTGAGACATGAATTTTCTCTAAGAAATGTCTCCTTGTATGCAAAATTGAGAAGGAAATTGTAATTGGGTTAGAAATTCACAGAAGAAATCATACAGGCTCAAAATAATTAAACAGCCTCCTTCATTTTCAATCTCTGATCTATAAAAAGGCGAACAAGAGACAGTGCATATCATCCCAAACCGATAACAGGACTAAAAGAAAACCTGATAACAGAAATAAAAGAAAACATGGTCTCTATAATAAAGATGATTCTTGTCTTCTTCGCTCTCTCCCTCTTGTCAACTGGTGAAGCAAAAGTTTTGGGGTCTGAATATTATGAAAACATCAACGAAGAAGCGATGGAGTATGATGAAGATAGTGATACACCTTCAGCAGCAATGGAGTATTATAATGAAGCACCATCTAAAGAACCTCAACTAGATGAACTGGAGCAGATGACAGATGAACAGCAAAAGGACTGCAGCTGCAAAAAGCTAATAGAGATACATAATAACTTAACCAAATGTGAAACTGGTAAAGAAGGTAGCAGATACTTGCGCCTTCCTGAGCAGTGTAATGGCTGTGATTCCTTCGAAAAGCGTCTAAGGGTATGCGAAAAACCAGCAACATGCGAAGAAGTTCAAGAATATAAAAAAGAAACAGGAGACTATACACTTCATGTGAACGGGGAAGAAATAGAGGTGACCTGTGTGATGGAGGATATGTGCGGGAGAAAAGGACCATGGACCCTCCGCAAACAATATGAGCTTCAAGCATCAGCATCATGTCCAAAAGAACTTGCAACACGAGAAGTGAGTGGAGTAAGAATATGTACCAAAAATGAGGCTGGGTGCAGGAGTAGGAAACTACAGGCCCAAGGGATCAAATACTCAGAGGTCTGTGGAATGGTCACTGGATATCAGGGTGGTTCAACCGACGCCTTCCGCATTATCAGAGCAAGAAATGTTCGAGGTAACTATGTCGATGGGGTGAGCATTACACAAGGGAAAGGCCGAAAGCATATTTGGACGTACGCTGCTGGAGTTAGTGAAAATTATCCGTTTGAGAGTGGATGCCCATGCAACAGAGGAAATACAAGAAGGGCCCCATGGTTTGTTAGACATCAATACTATTGTGAATCGGCCTTTAGGAGTGGAATAATCCATCCACGCAAATTTCAAGTCTACGATAAATTATGGGATGGCCACAAGTTCAGGGGACCAGAAAGAAAGTGTTACAGACGTGGCATGCCGTGGTTCTACAGGAAGCTTGGTTCTGAAGCCTCATCTGATTACATTGAGATTAGACTATGCACTAACGAAAAACCCTGGAATGAAAACATTGGAATTGGAGAATATAAGTTTTACACCAAATAAAGAGAGAAGGACTTTCTGGCTGTGTCTGGACCACATTTCAAGGACTTTTAAGAATTTTTAACTAGAAATTTCGTAGTGATAGGCAAATTATTTTTTGTAGTGATAGGAAAATTATTTTTTTGTAGTGATAGGAAAATTATTTTTTTGTAGTGATAGGCATTTTTTGTAGTCATTTATTTTTATATAAATGAATTAAGCCAGTTTTTTATTTCAAAAATGATTCATAAATCAATTTACTACAAATAGGCAAGAGCAATACAAAGTACTCCAGCTATCATTAATTATAGCTTACATCCTTTTGGTATAGCAATAAAATTAATAGCTCATAGCATAATAACATCCTTAGTTTACTAGTTCAGTATATCCTACTGTATATATATATATCTATAGTGATAATAATCACAGCAACACTGCAATTGCAATAGCCTACAATAGAGTTCTTAGATAGTGCATACAGTGATTAGTAAAATGGCTGAGATATGCCCCAGACTACTGAAGAGCAATGAGCCAAACTCTTCTACTAGTGCTGGCTCAGGAATGCAGGCTGGAACTGCTCAGCCTCCCATTCCTGTGATTAAGTGCATGACAGTAGGAGATGAGGACTCAAGAAAGATCAAGCTACTGCAAAGACTGTCTGCTCTCATTACTGGAAAATCACATAACAATATGAGGATATTTGAGGGCTACTCACTAAAACTGGAAAGCAACAGAGAGACAGGAGGGTTCATCCTCTCTCTGTGGGATGTATCAGGACAAGAGGAATACTCATTATTAAGGCGACAGTTGTACAGTGAAATGAATATATTCCTCATTTGCTTTGCATTGAATAATCCAGAGAGCTTTAGGAACATAAAAGAAACGGTGAGTGCTGGCATTATTTCTTGCAAAATCATTATCAGTGTAAATATAATAGTATTTATGCTCTGGTGGACTCAAAAATGAAGAAAAATAATATTACAATTACATTGCTATCTACCGTACTCGCCCCAATGAACGTACCCTCTTAATTGTTGCACCTGAAACAGCTTCCACAATAAAAACCTTCTGTTGAGTGCACCTCCTGGTCAAGATAATTATTTTTAAGAGGTGCATTCTAATTAGAAAGTCCCATTGTTTACAGGTGTATTGTGTACTTAGCTAAGCACCTCTCTAAACTAGCACCTCCAGGAGCATTTTTGTTCCTATCTAAACAATGCACCACCTGAGATACGTAAATATTTATCAAGAGGTGCGCTAATTGGGGCGAGTACGGTATAAGGTGCTTGAATCTTGGTTTGTCAGATAAACAAGTTGTGTTGTAAATTCTTGTATAAATAATTTGTCATAACATTACAATTGTTATGAAACGGGGCAAGATACGTTTGATGCAAATAAACATACATTAAACAATCCTTAATAATAGCTATGACCTCCTCTACCCTTCTCTCACATTACATGCAGTGGTATAAAGAAGTGAAGCTTCGCAATCCCAAGGCTCAAGTTATTTTAGTCGGGACAAAACTAGAGAAGAGGATAGAAGAGGGTGGAAAGGAAGGAGGAGAATACATAACAAGACAACAAGGACTAGAAATGAGGCAACTGTTAGAAGCAAGAGACTATGTTGAGATATCATACAAGACGAATGAAGGACTGGATGAAATAAGAGCTAACATCAGTGACTATCACCACAGACAATCAACTAGTGCGAACAACTGGAGAAATTGTAGCATCTTATAATGAAGAATCTTATAATAAAGAATCTTATAATAAAGATTGGATATTTTATACATGAGACTGTGTGATTGATAAGATTGCAATACTCACTAATACAATATACATATATTATTTAAATTTACACATAAATATTTCCATTAATAATATTATAATGATTGCATTACTCCCTCTTTTGTTAAAATATGCTCAAACATGCACAGGAAGTACACACTCAAACAATGTGAATGAGGAAATCACAATAAAAGTAAATAAATGCAGAGAAAACTCATACACTCAATGACTCTGTAATAAGATCAGAAGGAGTCACTCCCTAACAAGGACAGCAATACAAGGACACATAAGGCATACCCAGGAAGAGAGAGTAGCTTATGTATAAGTACACTGTGACTCTGTATTGTGGTTAAAGAGACAACAAGACTGTACACGCTAACTATGGACAACAATCCCATCACAACACACAATATAAGAATAAACGCAGCAAGTCAGTGTAGTAGTCCCAGTATAACTCGGCTATAAGCTCCATTTCTTCTACAGAGATCACTGCTGTCTGTACTATCTCTCTTAGGACCAAGTTAATAACTGGTAAGACCATAGTACACTAGTAGTAATGTAATCTTACCTTATTTGTTCCTAAACAATGCTTTTAACTATAATACTATCCTTCTTTGTATTCTTTTATAATAATTTATAGACACAAGCCCTCCTAAAATCCTAGGATTCCTGTATATCTCAGCTAAAGGAAAGTCTGTATACACTCTACATATACACACATACGTCATGATAGCAATAAAGTGTGTGGTTGTTGGTGACGGCGCTGTAGGTAAAACCTGTCTACTCATTAACTACACAACGAGTGCTTTCCCTGGCGAATACATACCAACGGTCTTTGATAACTATTCGGCTAACATAATGATTGACTCAAGGCCGGTTAACATTGCACTATGGGACACAGCAGGTCAAGAGGACTATGACAGACTCCGCCCTCTCTCTTATCCTCAGACTGACGTGTTTCTGATCTGTTTCTCTCTCATTAGTCCATCGTCTTATGAAAATGTGAAAATAAAAGTAAGCTATATTATATGCCAGGTGCATAATATGCATCTCGTATGTACATACATACTATAATACATTATGATAGCTGTGATCTGATCATATAACAAAAGGAACTAAACCACTTAACACACACACATTTACCAACTACTAACAACAGTTCGTTGCTGACAGACAACTCTTAAACCAAAATATTAAAAGCACTTTTTCTTTATATCGTTATTCAGTGGCACCCAGAGGTTAACGGACACTGCCCGGACACGCCCATCATACTAGTGGGTACCAAACAAGACTTGAGAGAGAAGAAAGACGCGCTAGAGAAACTAGCAGAGAAGGGACTCTCGCCGATAACTAGCGAGCGCGGAGTCAGACTACAGAAAGAGATTGGGGCCATGCAGTACATGGAGTGCTCGGCTCTGACTGGGAAAGGAGTAAAAGGAACATTTGAATTAGCCATAAGGACAGCATTAGCCAACAGAGTCCATGTTGCTGACGAGAGGAAGAGGAGGAAGGAGAGGAGGGGCAATAAATGCACGGTGCTCTGAGGCTGCTACCAGTTTACTAATAATATAACAAACTAATTTACTAACTTGAAGACGCTAGTAATGATTGCAGTATGTATATACCGAGTCTTTTTTTTTTGTAAAAAATAACTAATAATCTTAATAACTGTTTGACAGAATGTAAAAATTACCGCAACTACAACTAATGCGTACAACACGTGTCGTGTATACAGTTATTAACTTTACCACAATAACAACAAACAATAGACAACAAACAATATACAACAACAAACAATACACATTGTGCATACAGTAATAACTGCACAGAAAGAAACATGACACATGTACATGTAAATATATTTTCCCGCCCAATCGTACATGTACATTTGCCCATTGGTCAAAGAGTACACATGTACACATGTAATAAATATAATGCTCACAATAAAATGTTAAAATAATGAAATTACTTACGTCACAAGCCCGTGCTCCACTATGCCCCCGAACAGCTGTCCTGTGATATGTAGCTCTTTCTCTGGGAACTGAGGGAAGAACTTGTACTCTTCAAAGATATTACGTAGCATACAAACAAAGAGGTCCTACATAAGAGAAAAAGAGAAAGCAGCTATTACACAGAAGAGACTATTAGTGAAAACAAAAGGCCCGAGAAATTAAAGCACAATTAGTTATCGATTATGTACACATGTACCTTCTCTTTTTTGTTAGACGAATCTTTGAATTTTCTTAATATCTCGAGTAACTGGTTGACACTCATTCTACTGTTGTATATCGCCTGAAAGAAAGCATTAGCCTTTTCATCAACATCTTTAGAAGGTTGCTCAACAGAGAAATACACTGGATCTATAGCGAGAGGGAGGGTTTGAAAAGTGAGAGAGAGTACAGCTGGTTTTACCTGGTACTTGCTGTGATGACTGTGGTCCGTATGATGCCATCATCTTTCCACCACTCCCAAACGAGTTGCCTGCCCCTCCCACAGGACCGCCCCCTCCAATAGGTGAAGAGAGTAAAATTTCCTGTCCAAAAGAACTCTAAAAAATAATAACAACAATATAATAACTCTAAATTCATTCCTCCTCCTATATATCCCAAATGATTGTAGTGTTACCTTGACCCCAGCAGGTGATCCAGGGATAGGATAGTCTCCTCCTCCTCCTCCTCCTCCTCCTCCCACAACGCCAGACCCTCCATCAATCTAAAATATAAAAAAACAAACACTTGACAAGTGCAAAAAGTTTTGAACGATTCTCCACACACATGTAGGCATACTGCTGGCTGCCATTTTAAAAAATCTATTAGGATATACCATGACCAATGTTAGGATATCATTATCTATTAGGATACTATCACCTACATGTACATGTACATGTGTACATAATCATGATACATGTACATTGTACATGTGATACATGTACATTGCACATGTGATACATGTGCACTCTACATGTGATACAGGTACATTTTTGTACTTACTCCAAGGCTGAGTGGGTGGGCTGGTCGAGGTGGAAGGGAAGAGATGGGACCGTGAAAATTAATGAGCATCTTTAACTTTTGAGCATACTCTGACTTTAATGAACTACATGTAAACAAAATAATTTCAAATATCATTATTGTATGTGAATAGGAATATCATACTCACGTAACATATGGCTGGAGACATGCTAACATTGTAATGACGATATCATGAGTTAGGCCAGTAGTCTCATTACTGGGCGCTACTGGCCTAGGAGCATGATTAACCAAGAACTGGATACACTCCTGAACAAACTGATCCTATGAAATGAGAGAGAAAGAGAGAGAGAGAGAGAGAGAGAGAGAGAGAGAGAGAAGTGGTGTGTACATGTACATGCATATGTTATTGCATGTGTTGTGCGTGTGCCTACCTGCACTTCTTTGATCTTCTCTATCATCCACAGGTCAAGTTTAAGGAACTTTCTTTTAGCTGCCCAAGTAGCCAGGTCAATGACAAATGGGAAATGATTACATTTTAATATAATAGGTAGCATCTAATTGAAGAGAAATAGGTCATTCGTTATTACTGCTACAATGTAGAGCACGTACCTTTAGGTCCTGGCATATGTCTAATATCTTGAGTATTCTGGTGTGATCATTGTAATCATTTTGGGCATACCAATCAGCAATAACTTTAATAAGTAATGCAAGGACAGCAGGTGTACCAAGCTACATACGAGAGAGAGAGAGAGAAATTAATTACAAGAATTCTGCTAGTAGCATATAGTAGAGGTGGCTTACAGAGCTGTGCCAGATGTAACTGAGAACAGATGAAGACGTTGGGTGATTGTTAATGAAGTTGGGGAGAAGATGAGAGAGAAGCTCGGTTTCAACAACCTGCCATGATGTCTACAATAAGGAGAGAATTAAGAAAACAAACATATCACAGTATTATTACTATTATTAATGAGTGGAATAGTTACTTTGCATTGGAGTAAACCAAGGAAGAATACTTCAGGACACTGTTTGACTGGTACCCTGAACAACTCAATCACTTCACAATGATGGCCCTGCTCAGCTAAATTGAGCAATGTCTCAATGAGACTCAATGAACGCCTAAAAAAGAAATATAATACTTTGAAGTTATCATATGCACATTCAAACATGATACATTTGATTGCCTGCAGTTAGCATTAATTGTCTAAGGGTGCAATCAAGAGTCTACTAACTTTAGTTCCCCATAAACATTGCTCTCTCATAATTTATACCAATCAACCTTCTACTTATGTATCTCATTTAGAAGTGATACACATTGTGTGTACATATTAGCAGTTGCTAATTGCTTCTCACCATGTTTTAGCTTCTTCCCCAAGAAAGGAGTTCTTCAATGGCTCAAGGTTGACAGGGTTGAATGGATAATTGTAGAAATTGAAACTAGACCCACTGCTCAATGCCTGCTGGAACCATGAGAGCTAGAGAAAAAAAAACAATAATTAATAATAATAAAATTATCAATGGGCAATGAAAGTAAAAACAGACATAATAATGGAAAAATAAGTACATGTATATTAGTACTACATGTACATGTACATCATATGCACAAGAGGCTAATGGCATAATGCTAGTCCTTATTACCTGTCCTTTAGTGTGGAGCCATGGCTCGTATATCATTTCAATGGGGAAAGAGTCCTTTGATCCAACATTGAAACAAGTCATTATCAGGTTAAGCCCTTCGGTACTAGGAATGTAAAAACCTTCATAGTCCATCTCGGGTACAACATCACGCCAACAGAGGTTAGGAACCTAAAGAATAAAATAATGATGACAGAGGGTTTTGGCATAGTGTTCAACTTTTTGTCAGTAGACTTTAAAGTTGTTCCAAAATTGGGCCAAAGTCCCTGTACTATAGTACAGGGATTTTGACCAAATTTCGCCAAAAATGACAAGGAGAGAATTTTGCGTTTTTATAATTTTTTCTGATGCATATACATGTCCTTATATTGTGTAGTGAGTTTGAGCAGATTCTGATCAAGTTTGGATTTTTTATGAATTTTTAAAGTTGCTCCAAAATCGGGCCAAAGTCCCTGTACTATAGTACAGGGATTTCAGCCAAATTTCGCCAAAAATGACAAGGAGAGAATTTTGCATTTTTATAATTTTTCCTGATGCATATACATGTCCTTATATTGTGTAGCAAGTTTGAGCTAATTCTAATCAAAATTAAATTTTTTATGAATTTTTAAAATCTGAATTTACAGCTATAGGGCCAGGATACAATGTACATGTATGTAAGATGCAATGGTTGTTAAAATTACCAATGATTGAAGGGCAATAGCAAGGACCTTTGCATCCCAACAAGATGGACTCTTTACCTGCATCCTACTAGGATCAGAATTAACACCCTAAAGAGATAGAGAGAGAGAGTGAAGGAGGAGGAGCATTAAATAGAGTAAGTAGTGAAAATAAAACATACCATATAAGGTAAGCTGTCAGAGAGATCAGAGTGAGTCTGGGCCATCATTCCAAGGACTCGAGCGACTACAGCTGGTGTTATGTTAATCTTCCCATAATCCTTTAATATCTCCAACATGTCTTGCTTACTGTGAGAGAAAGAGCAAATTAAGAGAATACAATTGTTACACACTCATTAACAAGTATGCATGTAATACATATACACAGTAGTACATGTACAATGAAGTGTAATAAAGTAGTACATACAATTAAAAGCAAACAGTATCATACATGTACATTGTATGTGTGAGTGACTTACGAAGCAGTAGCCGCATATCCAACATCACGTATAATCTCTGCCAATTCTATAGAACTCTAATTAAAGAGCATGTTATCATTATCATCTATTATTATAGTCATATTCTCACCACTGATAATGGTAGAGTAACAGATACTGGGATCAGCCTAATGTACATAGTGCATTATAATAATTATTTATGTAGACTCAGTAAGGTCTATAGCTCTCTCTCTCTCTCACCTATCTTCAGTGATGTCTTGCTGCTCCTGGTACAATAAAGGAGCTAATACAACAGGAACACGTTCACGTGGAAAATCTACAAAAAATAAAACCAAAATTAAAAGAAACACATTGCACAATTGATTAAGCAATGTATAATTGACCAAAAACTATAGATAAAGATAGTTTACCTCGTCTAAGAACCTGTACAAAGGACTCTACAGTGTCAGCGGAGATCCCACCTGTTTCATCCTCAGACCTTTGGAGAAGGTAGGAGAGTAACAGGTGAAGGACTTCCACAGCAACGTCACCAAGCCCACCTTCAAAACCTGAGCTCATATCTATAGCAGCACAATGAGGGACAAAGTAATGATGCTGATTACAGAATAATATTACCTGAATAAGATCTTATGAGGTCAGGCAACTTTGATTTTAGATGACTCATAGCTACATGAGAGGAGGAAAGAGAAGAAATAAAAAAATAGAAGGAAGTGAGAAGGAAAAGGAAGAGAGAGGTGTAGTCTGTGTACATGTAAATGTACTGTACATGTAAGAAATGTAGCCCCATTGTACTTCATGCATGTACATGTACATACATACCATGAGTCTTAATATCAGGGTCATTACTTTCAGTAAGACCAAGAGCAAACACAACCTATATGTAACAGCAATGTAATGGATGTGGCATGTTGTAGGCATGGCTCGTTACCTCGTGAACTCTTGACAGTTTCAAAACTTTAGAGACAATCGTAAGTATTTGATTAACAGGACGAAGCGTCTACAAAACATAAACACAAACATGAACACAATGTATTCCTCACTTTGTTTTCTTGGTTCTCAAAACTGTGACATAAAATTGAGACAAAATTCCTCCGAGTGATGAGTTGGGTAGACTCGTGTATCAAAAACTGGAGCTGCTGTCCATCTTTAGTGACGTTAGTCCTGTTGTCACTGCCACCATTACCAGAGAAATCAACTTGTGTGACCAGACAACGAAATAAGTGCTTCTCTGCTTCAACGCCATGTTTCTCTACCAACTAATGAAAGGAGAGAGAGAGAGAGAGAGAGAAGAGGACAACATAAAATTAAAATCAGAATAGAAGATGATAGAAAAACATAAAAATAACAACAATCTCTAATATATATAACTAGTGTCACAAGAAGTACATAAACATTTAAAGTATCACAAAATCTTTCCATTATATGTGGACTCTAATTAATGCCCATTCTCACAGTGATTATTTCAGATGTGTTCCCTCTGTAGTTCTTTTTATTTATGCTGGCGACCAGGTACTGTATTTGGGCCAGACCGTAAGAGCGTGGATTGAGAGCCATCCTTGGCCCTTTTGATTACCGAGAAAGGCTAATTAAGTGTCCCTTTTCCAGAGTTTTCCAAATGATCATTGAACTTTTCTTTCTTCACCACCAACATGCAGTAACCGAATGTGTTCCTAATTATGCTACTTGAAGTCTTGAACAGTTAATTTGAAAAGGCGTGTCTGGAAAAAGCCACGCCCCGATCCAGTTATTCTGATTTTCTTGGAGGATTTCTCCTCGATCAGTTTACTCTTCACTTTACCTTTATCCTAGCCCTTATCCTTGTATCAAGGTTGTTGTGCTGTTGCTGTTGCTTCTCCAGTGAATGTAAGATAATTTGCAATAGAATAATAGACTACGTAGGCCTACGTAGATTTAATTTTGTTTTTGTTGTACTTGACTTGTCACAGTAAATGTACGCATTCATTATTAGATCTATTGTAGATTAACTATGTCATTATAGAAATACCAGTCTGCTTGTACTTTTACTACAAGGACCACTGCTATTTCACAGCTCCTCATCAAATGTAAGTGTTTTACTATTAATGCAGGTTTATCACATGCGATATCACATGCCTGTCTTTTACACAGTGAGAATCCCAGACCTATGCCCAGACAGACATGCCTCTTAGAAAGGATGTTTCTGATAAACGAAGGAGAGCAAACGTCAACTATTCGAACTTTTGGACTATAACAGATCCAAAACTAATTGATTACCTCAACAACGGGCTCTATGTATACAAAGGGGAGGTTGAAGCCGAGGGTCTGGGCACTCCTGCTCAGATACGCTCCCGTGAGCCACTCGATGTGTCAAATCCACTGGCCATGACCCAGTTTGAGGTCCAACTCCAGGACACTGGTCTTAGCAATGCCATTACTCTTGGAGTGTGCACTAGCTCTTACCCGTCAGAGTTTTTACCAGGCTGGCAAGCAGAAAGAGGTAAATACCCTACACTAGTCATTCATTTGTATATGTAAGAATTCACTTCCTTATTATCAGCTCAAGATTCAACCCATACAACAATCATTAAACAATGTGCATAATATTGGATTACCATACATGTATGAGTACTTTGTCATTATAAACGTATTGTATTACTGACTAGTGCATTTTTTGTGTATTTTTACAAGTGAGGTGTATCACATTTGTAATGATTATAACGGGCTGTCAATAATACTACCTATATTTTCATATCTTCCTTTTGTAGGCTCGTCAATTGGTGTTGATGCTGCTGAAGGCTTGCTCTATCACAACTCAGATGATGGAGAGAATAGATTTGTCAAGTGTTCGGTCAATGATACAATCAAGGTCTCTATTGTCCCTTTGAGTCGTGAAGGGACTGTTAATGTTGAGTTCTATCACAACAATGTCCTCATAACAACTGAGACTACCGATGTACCTGAAGATGGACTCTATGCTGTAGTAGCATTAGCAAGCCCAAGGGAAGCCGTGATAATAAGTCCACCACAAAGAGAGGAAGTGGAGTCATTTGAAGCTCTCTATGAAACAAAGAGTCCTTATATCACTCACGAAGGTGATGGGATATGTAGCTATAAGCCCCCTCGTTCTCCCTCCTTTCACTCTCACCCTCAAGAACCCCCGCCCATGTACGTGGGCACACTCAGATCAATAAAACCTCTTGAAGCAGGAGAATCGTTTGAGGTGAAGTTACTAGACAGAGGAGCTGAGGGTGCGATTGCTGTCGGTATATGTCCATCGGATTATCCAATAGATAGTATGCCTGGTTGGAATGAAGGCTCTGTTGCTTATCATGCCGACATCAGTAGCATACTAGATGGAATGGAAAAGAGAGACAACGTTGCTGTTTGGAAAGAAGGTGACACTCTCTCTGTATCACTTGAGCCTGTTGACGGGAGTACAAAAGAGTTTAGAGTCCTTTTCCGTAAAAATGGTGACATATTTTGGAAAGACAAGATGTGGAATCCATCAACTGGTCTGCACTGGTGTCTTGGACTCATGAGCAGCAAAGAGAAGGTTCAGGTAATACTCCCCAGACAGGTTATTATTCTGGATGCCCAGTCGCACAAGTTTGAGGATATTTGGCAGCTGACGTCACCATCAGTCGAGTATACTAAAGACGGGATTTGTGTTTTTGTCGGTCACCATGACAGCCCAGGGGTCATTCGCTCAAGGAAACCCATCAATCCGCTGAGCAAGAACCCATTCTTTGACATGAAGATCATTAATTTTGGCAAAGAGTGTGAAATAGTGATTGGAGTTTGCTCTGATGACTATTCTCTAGTACAGCTGCCAGGCTGGAGACCCAAGTCAATAGGTTTTCACTGCTACACTGGTAACCTTTATCAAAACTCTGAGCTCCCTCAACAAACAGGGTCTATCTGTAGCGAAGGGGACGTCATTAGGTGCACTGTGTCACCGGTGGACAAGAGTGACAAGAGAGTAGCCATCACTTTCCATCGCAACGGGAAACTGATTGCCAAAGCACTGGACTGGACCCCACCTCATGGTTTTCATGCTCAATTAGGAATGATGAGTGAATTTGAGGCTATACAAATAGCTTGTCCTCTTATACAACCCTCCACACTCAAGAAGGGACTGGCTGGTATAGACTCCGACCTCACTCGTCCTGTTAAAAAGTCAAAGCACAGGACCGCTCCAATTCCATTCAGCCCGGAGCAAATTGAGAAAATATCGACCGATGAGACAGATAATCCTTATGTATACGTTAAGCCTGTTTCTCCACTTATTCACGATACTAGTGCCAGTGGCACTCGTACAGTTGGAATGTCCCCATTGGCTGGAGAAAAAAGGAGGGAATCATATCCAAAAGAGAAACCAAGAGAGAGTTTCAGGAAATACCATCAAACCAGTGAGCCTGGATTGGGATCCTCAGGACTCTCACCACCCGAACTATTAAAAAGCCAGGTTTCTACTCATTCATCTCAGTCTTCTGTACCAAGCACTCCTTCGACACCTTCCCTTCCTACTACCCCTTCATCAGTATCACCATTACCATTAACACCTCACAGACAGAAACAACTGATCAGTACTCCTAATGACCCTGTCATAGAGGTCCCTCCTCCTCCATTTCTATTAGCAACACTCACAGAAGAAGAGGAGGTACATGTTATAGAGGAATTACCAAAAGCTACTAACCATTTGTTTAAGACTCTTCATGGAGTGTCCTATTTCCCTGATTCTACTATGCTAACTGTATCATCAGATCTTCCAGATGGGTCTTATGCCTATGCTGTCAGGCGTCAAGCCCTCACAGAAAAAATGAAATATTTTGAAGTTGACATTCTGCCTGGTAGCAGTCGGGGGATTGCTGTAGGCGTTTCTAGTGGGCCTTTGTATAGCAACCGGTTGCTAGGTACATACCCCCACACTGTCTCTTATGACACATCTACTGGTAGACTGTATACTGGTACACCAGAGTATCACTCTGAGCCTGGAGTGTTGTTTAATGAGGGGGACACCATTGGATGCTGTTTATCTGTACTCTCTGATCCATCATGCAGACCAGGGGATGATAAGAATGCTTTTTCCCCTTCAGAAGTGAGGGTTGAGTTTTATAAAAATGCCAGTCTTATTGTACAAGTCAAGCTCCCTCTTCTTCCCACCTCACTCTCTCCCTCTCTCTGTTTCTCTGGTCCCCAGTCTAATGTAAAGATTGTTTGGAAATATAAAATGAAACCACAGGATTATTTTGAGTCTCACCCGGTCCCTGAGGGCTACCGAAATTTCCCTC